TTTGTTTAAGTGCCTACTTAAGCAAAGCAGTCACTCAGGATACTCTGGTTCGATCTCTATAGATACTCATGCCTTACCAGATCTGCCCTCAAGGCAGCCTGAGCCAGCCAAAAAAAAAATACCCATATCTTTATCTAGTTCCATACTGAGGGCTTATTCTAACCTCTATGTAACTCCCTTTTCTAGTAATGAAAAAAATGCTTCATGTATTTATTTGTTATACAAACCTAGTATTACATGTAGTAATTTGATGATTGCTTAAGCAGATCATTACTCCTGCATGAACAGATGTACTAGAGTTCAGTGGTTATATTATAGCTTGTTTGTTTTTAATGTCCCCCCCCCTTTTTTTTAAAATAAGACTGTAAAAACTGCAGCTTCATACTTTGGTCATCCTTTCTTATATAAGCATTTTGATGTTTCTTATACTTTGCTTTTAAAATAAGGACTAGCTGAGTGTGGTGGTGTACATTTATAATCCCAGCACTCAGGAGGCTGAGGCAAGAAGCTCATTGCCAAGTTCAAAGCCAACCTGGGCTACAGAGTGAATTCAAGGCTGGCCTGAACCACGCAGAGACCATATTTCAAAAAATAAACAGATAAATAAATTAAATAAATATAAAATAAAGTCTTCTTTCTAATATCTTTGTTCAATTCTGTCTTTGTTGTTATTGTATTCTTGTTTCTGTCAGCACACTCAGGAGGATTTGCAGCAACTGAAGTCTGAGTTGGATACTGTTTCTACAAAATGCAACAGCTTTCTCCATCAGTCTCCATCTGGTTCCAGTGTCCCAACTCTGCGTTCAGAGTTGAATCTGCTGGTGGAAAAGATGGATCATGTCTATGGTCTCTCTGCTGTCTATCTGAATAAGTGAGTGAGCTAAAGATTTGGATCCAATGGCAATTTTTCATTAGAATCAGATATGGAAAAATCTGGAGTATTTCATGAGCAACTCAGAAAAATAGGAAATTTAAACTCAGGGCTTTTGCACTGAGCTACATCTACAGCACCTTTTAAAATTTTTTATTTTGAAAGGACTAACAAGATAGCTCAGCAGACTAAGCACCTACTTAGGCAAGCAAAGGGGCTGGGGTTTGAGCCCCAGCACCACATGCCATGCTGGCACTGCCCCAGGCTCACTGAACCAGCCACTGAGACCAGGCGTGGTGGCACATGCCTGTAATTCTAGCGCTGGGAAGGCTGAAAACAGGAGGATCACTATGAGTCTGAGCTGCGCAGTGAGACTCTGTACCACATATGTTATATA